GGATCTAAAGCATAATGACGAGTGGTATATACGTGTGAGTAATGATGGATGTGAGCTATCAGTCAGTGGCCGGTCACCCGAAAGATGAGAGCTGGCCTAACTGGCTAGATGTCAGCATGAATGGGCAGCGCCTTTCATGATGAGGTCTGAGACTGACATGACACCTATATCATATTTGAATCCATAGCGCTGTAAAGATCCATAGGGCTCTTTATCCCGCTCAGGAATAATAGCAGACTATGGTATCAGAGTTCTCCTGTGCGATGGCTATGAGCTCCACCAACAGACTTCACAAAGAAATTGCTATCATACCGATATAATGGCTCCCCCTCAGCACCAGGGGTGCATTGTGTACAAATATTTGGTCGTTCAGTCGATCGTACTCAAATTGATATGGTAAATTTTGACTGGAAATGAAAGGGTATGCTTCCTTAGCTTCGCGAGGTGGACTCTATCGCCCAATTCAACTCTCATGTGCACCGTTTCATAGCCGGGTAAGGGTACGGTGAATAAACGCAAGGCCCGAATCGCCCACTAGAGCTAAAAGATGATCACAACTGCCAGCTGGTTGAGTGAATACATTGGCAAGATCTCAAGTCCGATTATATCCCGTTGGCATATCAGTACACCGACCAGTCACGCTAGGCTAAAAGAACCACAATAAGGCATGGGCATGATGGGGCCGCGAACATGAATAGAGGCCACAATTCTATCCTTTCATCAACAAAATCCGTCTGGACCACCAGGAGAGAATGTATTCTTAGTCCTCGGTCGCTGCCAGATAACCCTTTGAAGACATGGTTTAGCAAGAGCTGGAGTGATCGTTGGGAAAATACTCACGTCACGGTCTCTAAGAAACTCTAGAAATGCAAGAGAGACAGACACCCAGAATGCCATCTCCACCCCTAAATTGCGTACAACGTCCATTTCCACGGATAATGTTCCGGAAGGGGTTGCACGTAGGACGGGTGTGCTGTCGGTGAATGCTATAAACGGAAGTGAAGTGATTTGAGTTTCTCTCGGGGCGCTTGGAGCAACGCCGGGACCACTGGGTGAAGGGATAGGCTGGATCACAAAATGATGCGACGAAGCGTGGGAAATATTGGCCAGTGGTGCGAGTGCTCTGGAGAGGAAAGAAGACTTTGGTGCATGGGAAGGTTCGTTTACAAGGTGATGGTGATGA